GGGTTGGACTGGTGCAAGCAACCACCGCACGCCCCGTGCGACTGTTGCGCAATTGGCTTGCGATTGTCGCACTTGGGACGGGTGGCGCTCGAGCCTGGGCCGCAGTCGGCGCGCGCAAGAGGGGTGGTATGTGGCAGCAGGCTGGAGCGCACCGCTGGATTGCAGCCTGCTTCTGTGATTGTGAGGCGCAGTGCAAGCGATAATCAAGTTCACGCGCACCCGACGTAGGCTTTGACGAGCCGCCCCTGTCGGACCGACGCACGCCCCCGCCGGCATCGCGCGCCGCGTCGGCGTCCCCGGTGCTGCGGCCCGGCGGCGCCGCTGCGGCGTCGCCGGCGCCCGTGCGGCGCCCTGGGAGGCTGGCACAGGCGGCGAAGGCGAGGAGCAATGAGATAGAGGAGGAGGAGGACACGGGCGGGGCCGACGGGGCGTCCGCCGCGGGCGCCCTGTCGCGCGGCGTGAGCAGCAGCGGCGGCGGCCTCGCGCTCAAAGCGGCGGCGGCGACGACACCGGGGCGCGGCGTGGGCGCGGGCGCAGCGGCTGCGCCGGCGGCGGCTGCTGCGGCGGCGCGGCCGGCGGCGAGGAAGGTGTCGCGGAAGGATGACGACGATGACATCAGCGAGATGTCACTGACGGACGAGGAGGTGGGCCTGGTTCAAGAGGTTGTGGTGGCCACCTGTCGGCCTTTTTATATGCAATGTCCAGAGGACGCATGCGTGAAAATGCCAGCGGTGATGTGTCAAGGTGTGTGTGTGTGTGTGTGTGTGTGTGTGTGTGTGTGTGTGTATGTGTGTGTGTTTGTATGTGTGTCTGCCGATTTCAGGGGGATGTGTTCCATGCATGACCTGACAGGCGGCCGCACTGCCCTCCGCTGCCCAGGAGTACTCGCCCCCCGCCAAGGCCGCCGGCCGCGGCGCCTCCGGCAGCAGCGGCGGCAGGGCCGCGGGCCGCACGGGCTCGCTCGGCGCGGCGGGCATGGCGGCGGCAGGGGCGGCGGCGCGGGAGCGGCCGGAGCGCAAGGAAGAAAAATACGAGGGCGAGCTCAAGCCGCTGCTGCGGGACGCCAAGGCGCTCCTGGCCGGAAAGCTGAGCGCCGCCGTCGCCGCGGCGCGCAGCGGCATCGCGCGCCGCAGCTCGGCCGACTCAGACGGCGAGTCCAGCGGCTCCGACGGCGGCGGCCGTGCCGGGAAGAAAGAGGAGCCGGTCTCGGCGTCGCGCGCGTCGCTGCGCGACGCGCTTGCGGTCGCGCAGGAGCGGCAGCGGGAGCGCGAGCAGGGGCCACGCGGAGGCGGCGGCGTTGGCGGCGGCGGCGGAGGCAAGGGGGCGGGGGCGTCAGCGGCCGCGCCGGCGGCGCTGTCGGAGGACGAGGCTCGCAGCGCCCTGTTCAGCGTCGGCGGCGGCGGCAGCAGCGGCTCGTCCAAGGCCAAGCCGGCCGCGCTGTCGCGGGCCAGCAGCGGGGGCGCCAGCGGCAGCCGGGCGGGCGGCAAGGCGGCTGAGAAGACAGAGGACGAGTTGAGGGCCGAGCTCTTCGGCCCTGGCCCCAGCCCCAAGCCGGCGGCAAAGCAGCCCTCGGGCGGCGCGAAGAAAGCAAAGGATGCGGATGCGGGCGCAGCCAAGAAGGGCAAGGAGGCGGAGGCGGCGGCTGGAAGCAAGGAAGGCGCCGCGCCGCCGGCGAGCGGGCGCCGCGGGTCGCTGCTCGAGCGGCTGCAGCCGGCGGCGGCGGCGGCGGCCGCGCAGCAGCGGCCGGTGGCAGAGGCAAAGGGCTCCGCGCAGCGGCCGGCTGCGTCGCTGTCTGCCAGCGGCGACAGCGACGACCAGGGCTCAGAGGCGGAGGCGCCGCCGGCCAAGGCGGCAGCCGCCCCAGCCCGGGGTGCCCGCGGTGGCGCGGCGGCAGCCTCGGCAGCGGCCGGCGCGGCAGCTGCGGCTGCGGCCGGCGCGGCGGCGGGCGGGGAAGCTGCGGCGCAGCTGCGGGCGGAGAACGAGAAGCTGCGCGCGCAGCTGGCGGTGCTGCGGGACCAGGTGGGCCGGGGAGGGCTCGTCAAGGCCGAGCGTTGTGCCTGCGCGTGGCACGCGTCGTTCTGTGTGCAGTTTTCGGGCGGCGCTGCCGTGTCATAACCTCAAGAGCGTTGGCCCTGCGGCGGCCCGCGAAAGCGTCAGGGGATTCTCCATCGGAATTCAAGCGTTTTTGTTGATACCAACAGTCAGGCTTTCATGAGCGACACGGCTCGGGCGCGCGCGCAGGTGTCCTCGGCTGACGACGCCAAGCGGCAGGCCAGGCTGCGGGAGGAGCGGCTGGCGTCTGAGCGCGACGAGGCCAGGCAGCAGGCGGAGGAGTTGCAGGATCAGTTGAAGGAGGTGCGGGGAGGCTGGGCACATTTGGGACTGCGCGGTGATTATTGAGGGTGTTGGTGGAAAAGGGGAGCATTTTGAGGGACGGCATGGTGTTGGGATTTTGGGGGCCTGGCACAGGCATCCGCAAAATTGTGGATTGGGTGGGTAGCAAGCGTGAGGCAGCGGCGGACATTGTGCACCGATCGCGTTGCTTGTCTTATCAATTAATCGGTGTTTGGCGGCGGCACCGCAATAGGCCGTCGCGGCCTCTATCGAGGCGGGCGACGCAGCAGAGCTGCAGTTGGAAGTCGAGGAGCTGAGGCGCCAGATCAGCGAGCAGCAGCGCCAGCACGACCTCCAGATCGCGGCGGCGGAGGCGGCGGCTTCCACAGCGCGGCGCGAGTCGGCGGCATCTGATGGGGGTGGTTTGGAAGCTGCCGTGCAGCTGCGCGCGCGCTGCGAGGACCTGGAGGGCCTGCTGCACGACGCGCGGGCTGAGGTCGCTGATTTGAACGAGCAGGTTGCGCAGGCCCGCGGCCAGATCTCAGAGCAACAAGGCCAGATCGCAGACCTCGAAGCCAAGGTCGCCGAACGGGAAACCCAACTCACAGCCGCCGCGGCAGGCCGGGAGGCGGGCGGCGCGGCGGAGGCGCGCGCGGCCGAGCTGCAGCGGCGGCTGGCGGAGGCTTTGAAGCAGGTTGATGAGAGTGTTGCCATGGCCACCAGGGCGGAGGGACAGAAGCGGGAGCTGCGGGAGCAGGTGAGCTTTTCTGAGAGAACATGAATCCAGTGCATACGCGTGTGTTTGCAAGCATATCAGGGCCCACATGCAGATGTAGAGGGTACACGTTTGGTTGCATCCAAAGAACCTCATGACAGGCAAGGTCGCATGACGCAGACGTGGCAGTGACCTGAAGCGGCGATCGGTCTGCACGCGCCCGCCTTGCCGCGGTTGCAGGTCGTGGCGCTGACAAAGCAGGTCGAGCTGCTGTCGAAAACCCGCGGCGCCGCCGACGGCGGCGACCCCGCGCCCGGGACGCCCACGCAGCAGCAGCCCTCCACGCCCACCGCCCGCCGCCTGCTCGGCGGCGCCGCCGCCGTCGCCGACGGCGCCGCGGCGCGCGCGAGCGGCGGCGGCCGACAGGGCGCTAGCCCCGCGGACGACGCGGCCGCGCCCAGCTTGCGGCGGCGCGTGGCGGAGCTGGAGCGGCAGAGGGACGACGCGCTCGCGGCCCTCGTGGCCGAGGCGCGGCCAATGCTGAAAGCCCCGGCGGTCCTCGGCCAGCTGAATGCAGAGGTCGCGGCGGAGGTCAAGGAGGCGGCCGACGCGGCCGGGCTGGAGGCGGCAGGTGCTGAGCAGCTGCTGCAGGCGCTGCTGGCGCTGAGGGCGGGCGCGCTGGCGCTGCGGGCTGGCGAAGAGGCGCAGCGGGGCCTGCAGGACAAGTGAGGGATGGATTTGGCTGCTGAGCACCTCACCTCGTGTGCAAAGGCTGTGTGGCTTGAGGGCTGCTTTTGCCTGGTGGGCCCTGAGTGCAGGCCGGATGTTGAGAGCGGATCCACGCTTGCTGGGCATCACGTTTTCAACTCACAACGCTGCCAATCCATGCATGCAACTGCTGAACCATTGCATGCACCACACCACCACTCGGCCCCCCAGGGTCAAACTGCTGCGCTCCCTGGTGGACGAGGCGGGCGCGCAGCAGAAGGCCCCTGCATTGTCAACCCAGTCGGCGCGGGCCGAGCAGCAGCTTCGCGCCGAGCGCGACGGGTTGTCTGCTGACAAGGCCAGGCTGGAGCAGGAGATCGCCCGCCTGGCGCTGCAGCTGGCGGAGGCGAGGGACCAGGTCGCGGCGGCCGAGGGGAAGCTGCTGCTGACGCAGCAGGGGGGCGGCGGCGGCAGCGAGTGCGGCGCGGCGTCGCCGCCGCTGATACGCGCGCTGCGTGGAAGCGACGGCGGGCGCGAGGCGGCGGCTGCAGCAGCGGCAGCGGAGGCGGCGGCGACGCAGGCGCAGCTGCTACGGGCGCAGGAAGAGCTGTTCTTTGCTCTGTCGGAAAAGGAGAAAGAGGTGGAGCACCTGCAAGCGCAGCTCGCGGCCGCTACTGCGAAACGGGCGGCCGCGGTCACGGACCCCGCTGCGCAGCAGGCAGCCGCCGAGGCCGAAGCCGCGGCGGTGGCGGCGGCAGCGGAGCTGCGGGCGGCGCGGGCGGAGGTGGGGCGTCTAGAAAGTGTGAGGGACAAGCTGGAGTCGATGCTGACTGACTTTGAGGCGGAGGCCGCAGAGGATCAGGGCAGGCTGAGTAATGAGCTGGCTGCAGCAGAGCGCCGGGCGGCCTCGGCAGAGCAGCGGCTCGCTGACGCGGGCCGGCGTCTCGCGGCGGCGGAGGGGGAGGCGGCGGCGCAGCGGCAGCTGCTGGCGGAGGCAAGGCAGCAGCTAGAGCAGCAGCAGCAGCAGCAGCAGCAGCAGCAGCAGCAGCAGCAGCAGGCGGCGGCGGCCACAGCAGCGGCAGCGGCAGCAGCAGCAGCGTCGGCGGGCCTCGTCCCCTCACCGGTGAGCAGCGGCGCAGCCCACGCCCGCCACCGGTGCAGGGGCGGCCCGCCGGTGGTGGCGGCGCGCCCAGGCGTTTGACGCAGAAAGCCTCCCGCCCGCCGACCTAGTTTCTCCGCTTTCACCCCACCATTTCAAGGGTTGATGCACCCCTGCGGAGGGCCTCCCAAGTTCCGTTTTCTTACCTCTGCCAACTTTCTGACCCTCAACCCACCCTGAAAGAGGCCCGCTTTTCCATCTCAATCCCCCACAAAGCATGGCAACTGCTTCAGTGAGATGGATAAACCCTGGCATCACACACCTCGCCTGCCCCGGCTGTTGACCCACCCCTGAACCCCAGGCCATCCTGCATCAGGGCAACAGCGACCGCACCGCCGAGGCCGAGGCCGCCGCGTCCGCGCTCAAGGCGCGCGTCGAGCAGCTGCAGTCCAAGGTGGGGCAGCTGGAGGGCAGCTGCCGCGTGCTGGAGCGGGAAAAGTCGGAGCTCAAGCAGGTGGGTGGGAATGGCACACTGCATCAAGAGTTGGGCCACAAGCGCGGCACGCGGCGTCCAAGGGGGGGGGGTGTTGTCCGGCAAGCACGGCGGGGACTGAGCTCGCTGCCCGGGTCTTGAGAGATGCGTCCTTGTGTCCCTGGCCTTGTCTCTTCCCCCTACCCTATTCACACTCAAATATACACACATACACACACATGTATACATACACGTACATGTGTGCAACATACACACACATGCATGAGTGACAGGTGCATGCGCATCGCACACCGTAAAACCCCAACACTCGGCCATCATTCCTTGCCTGCGCCCCCGCAGCGGCTGGCGGAGGAGGCTGAGGACCGCGCCGCCCTGGAGGAGCGCGTGCGCGAGCAGCTGGATGAGGCCGGGGAGGACATGGCCCAAGAGGCAGTGGCGGGGTGGGAGGCCAAGTACTCGCGCCTCAAGGGGCGGTACAGGGTGAGGGTCGCGCGGATGCCAGGGGGTGGGACGCAGCCCGGACAGGATGGGGCCGTGTGGATTTTGAATGGCCCACAACGCCCAGCTAGAAGCAACTTTTGCCCTGTTGGTTAGTCATCCAGGGGTCGCCTCACGGCTCGTCGGCAGCCACGTCCCCCCGCTTCGGCGTACACAAGCGTGCTGGGCCGCATATGTCAACCAGCCCCTCACCTGCCCTGACCCTCCTGAACCTAAACCCTTGGCAGGGGGGCAAGAATCACATGGCCCCAACTTGCCCTAGCACCTGCAACACCTTCAACCGGACTCCCTTCCCTAGAATCCCCTCCACGCTCTCAACCCATGCCAGACCTCAGCTCAACTCTCGACCCCTTGAACTCTACACACACACACACACACACGCGCGCACACACAAACACACACACACACAGGAGCTCCAGGCTGCGGGGCGCGAGGAGGTTGACGCGCTGCACGACGAGCTCGCGGCAGCGCACGAGGCGCTGGGCCAGCTGGAGGCGCAGGTCGCGGCCCTGGAGGGCTTCAGGTGCGCGCTCGGAGGCGCGATTCGGGGGCCGCAGCCGGGGCCGGCGCGCGGCGGTGCGGTGGCGCCTGCATGCGCATTCAAATGCCTGAGTGCGCCGCGACCATGGAAGCTCGTTGGCTGCTTTGCGTTCTTGGGGCAAGCTGTTGTGAATGGGGATCAGGGCGCCGTCTTCGACTTGCACGGCTGAAGGCTCAAAGCTTCATCCGAGAATGTGTTCACGGTCCCCAAACCCTTGGACTTAATCCGCAGGAACGCGGCCACCAAGGGGGAGGCGGCGCTGGCGGAGACCCTGCAGGCCAGCAGCCGCGCCACGGGGGACCTGTCGCAGGCCAAGCGCGAGAACGAGACGCTGATGCAGGTCAGGCGCGCTGCCCACAAACCCCATCCATTGAACAGGGTTGGGCACATTCTGTGCGTGGCAGCTGGCTTGCTTGCTTGCTTTCTCAGCGCCACGATTCGGCGTCCCAAGCCGCACCTCAAGCGTGCTGTCTGAGACTGTGGTGGTCTGGTCAACGCACCGAACAAAGTTCTTTCCACCCACCGCCGAGGAACACACCTCGCAACCTGCTGCATGACGCACCGCCCCCCCCCCCCAGGAGCTGGTCACCCGCAAGCTGGAGCTGGCCCTGCTGAGTGAGAAGGAGGTCATCGCGCGGCGCGAGCTGTACAAGGCCAAGGAAGCCAACATGAAGCTGGCCAGCAAGCTGACTAAGATGGAGGCCGCGGTCTACTCGCGGCGCTAGCTCGGGGCAGCCACTGCGGCGGCGGCTGCGGCCTGCCGCCTGCAGGGCCGTCAGGAGCCGCGCGGCTCGTCACTTTCGCAGCGGGGTCGGAGCGCGTGGGCATGAGCCCTCGCGGCGGGGAGCTTTGATTTGCAGGGCGCTAGTAACTGTGTAGGCCACCTCTGCCTCTGCCGTTCGGACATGCAAGTGCACCAACAACCTGCCCAGATGGAAAGTTGGCGGGTTGCTCATGTTTGACGCTGGTGTACTGTCCATCAGGGTTTTATGGGCTGCCTGTGTTGTTGCCAGGTTTTCTATCCTCTGCTTCGTTGATTTGCTCACGCACAGCTGGCTGGAGTGGGTGCTGCGGGGCATACATGGTGCAACGGCACATGTTACCTCTGCACTGCTGTTTGTGGCAGAGCCCTTCACACTTTAGTGGTGGTAGTGGCTCACACTTGAGTGGAGCGCGGCAGGAATGGATGTTGGGCGCACTTTGCTGAACATTTACTAAAGTGCAGTTCCAATGAATGAAAGATACATACGCGGACAGCCAGCCAGCCAAGGAAGACCAGGGGGACCCAGGCCTGGCAACAAAACACTAGTGTTGCTTCTCAGGCAGCTTCCTGAAGGGTTCAGGCTTCTTAAGGTACAAGTAGCAATGCAAAGCGCCTATAAGCGAACAGCACAGACCGTCGACGAAAAAACCCTAATCCTGTGCAACTGAAAACGGATGGACACAATCAACACTAAAAAAACCTGATCATCACGCCCCCGCAGCTGCTGTGACCTTTGTCATTCTACCCATTACGACCCCCTCTGCTGTGCCGTTGCAGCGGTCGTCTTAACAGCTGCCCGCTGCGGGCTTGTGATTGTCGCCGCTCGGCGCCGCCGGCGCCACCCGCGCGGCGTTGTGCGGCGCGATGGCCGCCATGAGCTCCTCCAGCGACTGCGCCCAGAAGCCGCGGTCGTCCTCATTGAACTGGTGCGGGGCGGGGAACGGCGCATGTGTATGTTTTCGTCGAACGTGCGTGTACGACAGCGGCTCGGGAGCGGGTGCGTGAGGGGGTCCGAACGAGGGTTCCTTGCGCACAGGCAGCCGGTGCATCGTGTCTTTGGTCCGGGTCTGGGATGATGGGCTGTCCTGGATTGGCTGCCCAGCCCGGTCCTCGGCCCACCTGGATGGAACGGTCGCGCTTGTGGCGGCTGGAGTGGAGCGCCTGCATTTGGTGGTTTGCATCCTCCACCCGAGGCAGCTCCGGCACCGTCTCCAGCGGCGCCGACCCCGCGCGCGCCGCCTGCGGGACGAGCACGCCGCGGGGCGCCGGCGCCGGCGACGCCTCGGGGCGCGGCAGGCGCTCGGCGGCTTCGAGCAGCAGCTGGTGCACCATTAGAGCGTCATGCTCCTGCTTTCTGGCTTCGGCGGCGCCCTCCGGCGGTGCGCGCAGGCGCTGGACGAGCTGTGAGGCGCGGTGCATGAGGAGCGCGATGTGCTGCGCGTGGCTGGATGCCAGCGGTGCGTGCTGCAAGGTCACGGAGGCACTCATGATGCGATCCAATTGTGCGATGTCAAGCATTGATACGGTATCTTATGCAGTTCCGAAAACAAGGGAGAATCGTGGCTTTGTCGAATGTTGTTTGACGCAGGAAGCTGCTGCCAGGAAGACAGGGATCAAACCGGCGTGGATACGTATACGTAAGATCAATCGACCACATGCGTCGGAGAGTCCGAGAAACTGGACTTGGCGGATGCACCCGTCGTCATTTCGAAGAGGCCATGAGCTCTTGGAGCGGACCCCTCCGTTTCGGAGGGTTGGTGGTGTGAACGTGTGAATCACTTCTTTTGGGGATGTGATTGTACTTAGTTGTCTCTGCTTGCATGGTCACAGGTTGATAAGTGTGTCACTTCATGGGCAGCTCCACGACTGCCTTGATACCGTATAATGGCGGTTCATGTCGGCAATTTCGGTCGGTGGATGAGTATGTGTCATGCACAATGGTCGCCGGTGCGCAACGGGCGCCAGACGGGGGCTTTGGCCAAGCAACCCAATGCATTGATTATAACATATGGATGTTTAGACAGGGGACGGCGGGGGGTTGGAGGCGGTTGAATTGGCTGGCAGGGGTCGTATATGCTTTCATATGGCATAACGGTAGGCAAGAGGGGTTGGGCATGGTATATGAGGTTGCCTGTGTGGCGGACCTCGCTGTGTCGCTGCTGCCGAGTCCTTGGAAGCCCCGCCATCAGCCCGCGCCCGTGTCGCGTCCTGAGGCGTTTGCCGCAGGTGCTGTGACGGGCTTCAAATTGGCCACCACGCTGCTGCAGTTCGTGCGAGGCCTGGGGGTGTGCACGCCGCGCGCGGCCTGCAGTTCGGCCCTGCCGTCCAAGGACGGCTCCTGTCCCTGGACCAGTACCTGCGCAAGCAGCTGGCTCAGCTGGTGAGCTGGCATGCATGTGCGGGCGCGGGTAGGCGGCCGTGGGCAGCTGGGCTGCGTGCCTGCGCAAGCTCGTGGCCAAGCTGTGACTGGTCGTGCAAGCGTGTGTGCGTCAGGGGATGTTGGCTTGGCCCGCAACGTGCAACTGTGTTGTGCTGCTGTGGCTCGTGCCGCCCTGCGGATGACTAAGTTTCTCCGCTGCGGAGTAAGTTTCTTCGCTGCGGATTAACTTTCTCCGCTGCGGAGTAACTTCCTCCGCTGCGGAGAAAAATACTCCGCTGCGGAGTAAGTTTCTCCGCTGCGGCGTAAGTTTCTCCGCCGTGGAGAAGATTACTCCACCGTGGAGAAAAATACCAGAGTGCAGCTGCAGCGAAGCTGGATGTGTTGGTTGCGGAAGCCCGCTGGGATGGCTGATAGGGCGGCGAATGCGAGCTGGTTGTGTACTTGGGCTTGTTTCCAGTCCCCACCCTCCCACCCATACGCACCCTGCCCATGGATGCGCGAGGCCCGAGGCCCACCAACAATCACCACATACACGAATTGCTGAAGATTCAAAGCCCGGCATGCAGCATGCATCCCACGGCCCCTCGAAGTCTTCCAACTCTGGATGACGGGCCGCTGCCGCTGCTGCCGCCGATGCCGCCACTGCTGCACCGTGCGAAGAGCACGCCGGACTCAGGGTTGTGGGGCGTGTTGTGCGGCATTCAAGGCGCAGAGACCACCGTTTTGACGTTCTCAAATTCCAACGCTGTACGAAAAGGTTGGGCAGCGATGACAGGTTTGTGGTTGTGCAAAGCTGTGCTGAGGGCCCTCTCAACGATGTTGGCGAGGGGGCAAAGACGGCTGGTGGCATTCAAGCCACAGTTGGCATACCACACACCATGTGGCATTAGGCACAGCGCATGTGGATACTTTAAGCAACGGTAGATGTTGCAGCATTCCAGACCCGCACCCCCTTCCAAACCTTGCCTGTGCTCGACTGCCCACCACCACCTTCCTGCAACCCTGATCACCCTCAAGCACGCCGAGGCGAGGCTGCAAAACATTGTTACTGGCCAACACGCCTGCACGGCGCGATGCGGGAAAAACAAAAGGAAGACGGGTCCAAAAAACGACAGAGAAGTTGGTGTTGGTCATGGGCGGCCCCGTGGAGCGCCGCTGCATACACAGTCAAGACACAGTTTGGTCCCCCCATAGCATACGTGTCAGGTGACGTGACCAGGTAAAGCGAGAGAGAGCGCAGATGGGGCTCGAGACCGCCATGCACCCACCGGCCCCACCGCGCCGTTGCAGCGAAGGAGGGGAGGCGCGGCCCGCAGTGCTGGCTTGTAAGCTCCTTTGTCTTTGGGCAACAGCCATCCCAGACAATAAAGGACGAGTCAAAAGGGTCAGGACCCAAGGCACCGGCAGTTTTGTGGACGAACGAACAACCATCACTGTCAACAGCCACAAATTGTAGGGAGCGACGGAGGGGCGGCGACGAGGAGGGCAGACGCACCCTGCAATGGCCCCGCCGCCCGGACGGATGCATTGGCCAGCCGCCCAAACAAGAGCAGAGGGCCGACCAGACATTTGACTGTGGGTTGGCGTCGCGCGCGCAATGCCAGTGCATGTCTGCATGCCAGTTGCTCTTTGCGCCGGGCGGCGATTGTTCTGAACAAATTAGGCAGCCAGCAAGGCGGGCCTGCGTGGGCAATTGAGGCCGCTCAGCGTTGCATATACGTCTCAGCTCTGGGCCAGCGCCCCCATGCCACCACCAGCAGCCGGACGCACGCACACACACCATTCTGCGGCGTGCTGCGGCGGCCCCCGCCGGCGCGCCGGCCCCCACGGCCGGCCAAGCAGCCCGCGAATCCCGCTCATCGCCCCGTCGCGCGCGCGCGCGTGCCTCCCGCGGCCGGCGTCCGCGGGCC